TATAATTTATATATATATTAACTGTATCAATTTTTTATGTACTACTTAATAATACTTACTCTCTCAATCCGAATCAGCAAAAACTTGCTGATTTGCAGCGAATAATTGCTGATCCTTACAGCTATAAGTATACCGCTGCGAATTAGCGAATATTAACAGAATGAATCAGTGAACCAATCAGTCGCTGATTCAAGTAGCGAAACAACCAATCGCTGATTCAAGCAGCGAATCTTGCTTTTGCTGTACAGTACAGAAAACTTAGATTTCAAGTATTTTTTTATTTATACTTTTGTATTAGAAATATTTACATGGAGAGATGTGACAATACTTTTGACATTTTTTCCTATTTTAAATATGTAAGTGTCAATAAAATTATAAAAAGTTTTTACATTATCTAGATATTGCACATTAAAAATATAATAAAATTTATATAATATGTCAAAGGCGACAATCGGATCTGCCTTTAAATGCACATTGATTGTTCAGCCATCTCCTTGAACGAAATATTTGTCAATGTTCTGTCCGCAGACACAAATAATATAAGGCTGGATATGTTTGGCCTTTAGAGCTTTTTTTGAAGCTAGAAATTTTGGTATATCAGTCCCCTCCTGAAAACAGACAGAATTAGTATATTAGTATATTATTATTTATTAGTATATATATATTATAGTTTCTGATATAAAATTAGAAAACTTCAATATATACCGGTATAATATTTATTATAGATTGATGACATTACTTGATTCTTCCTTTCTGGTATTCTCGTTTACCTATTGTTTTGAAAATAAAGCAAATAATTTAAAAAAAAGTAATACGATTTTAAAGAAATAATAAAAGTAATTTTAAAGTACAAATTATTAACTTTTTTTAAAGCAAGACAACTCACAGGTTTCATAAGATATTAAAATGATAAATTATTTAACATTTAATTATGAAGAATGAATTTAAAGTTGATATTTAAATGATTTTATAATATTTAAAACAATTGTAACTAAGTTTGTGTAAAAAATGATTTCTTTATTATTATAAAAACGTATATTTTTACTAAATTAAAATTAGATCAATAATTGAAACAACTCTATCTTTGTGGGGTACAAAAAAAACTAACAACACCTTGTAAGGAGCAAAAAAATCAATTTAGTCCGAATTGGATCTATTAGAATTATTTCAACCCTAATGCTTATAATCATAAAATTATATGTATTCTTTCATATATTATTGGTTTATTAACAATAAAAAATATAATAACAGTATATTTTATGCTGCTTAAATAATTCTTCCTTACATATAATGTTGTGAGACTTATTGTTGTTTTACTGTTCCTTTTTCTCAATGCATTATTGTCTGGCAGTAATTTGGCAAGAATAAGTAAGCTTCTAAGACTTTCTGCATTAGACAAGAGAAAGATAAAGATATTATGTTTATATTATTTTTAAATTGAAAGAGTACAAAAACTCTATTCGTGAATTATGAATTCAAAATTGTTGAGAACAATATATCTCACCATTGCTGTTATCATTCATATTTTTATACGTTTCGGGTCGATGCAATTTGGCATAAGCCAATAATTGCGGAGTATAGTACGATGAAAATCTCTCCAGAAATATATCTTTATTATTTTCTATTCTCTATCGAACAGTAATCCGAATTCTTTGTCAATCTAAAATAAGAGTTCAGAATTATAAAGTTATTAAATATGTATATATATACATCCAGTTTTTATATTAACCAAATTAATATTACCATTTCGCCATAATAATCTAGTAGACGAGGATATTTCAGTAAACTTTCTGATATAGTGGGACTTTTGGAGTGTATCCAATGTCTTCTATTAAGAAATGTTTTTTCCATATATGAACATATTCCATTTTTATTGGTATCAGATGTGTTGTTATTTTACTTTAGTCAGAGATACACACACTTTTAAATAAAACAGTTTATTTTGAGAGAGAAAAATCAAAGAGAGAACCTTTCATTACAGCGGTACAAAACGGAAAGCGAAGAAACATCTTCATACGCAAAAAAACGATAAACG